ACAGGCAAATGATTGTTAATATTTGAATTCTAACAAGCTTCACAACATCTCATGAATAGGGTCGTCATGATATCATCATTTAAAATTGTGGATACAGGCTAGTAAAAATCTAACAAAATCAATACCTGTAATGATACCATGGGAACAAAAGTAGAAGTCTCAGGTAACCAATATTGAATCATTTCCTGCTTTTAATCCCCAATTATTGCAGACAAACTCCTGCACAGGGTCTTAAATGCACAAATGTTGATGTTGGTTGTATTCCTGCAATTAAGACAGCGCTCTCTCTTTTTTGGTAAAGACGTAATATCTATTTTTTTTAATGCTTCTTGACTTTTCAATCATATACTATCGATCATTAAAATAATGGAGAATGTATGATTTAAAAACATGCAATATTAAAAAGTTCCAAATCCTCAAAAATATTGACCACCATTCGGGAGGGGGCAGAGCCAATCCTGCTGTCATTGAGCAATGGGCAGATCTACACCCTGGACAGATCAACATGTCAATCACAACCCTAACACATAGAGACAAACAAGCCTCACACTCACACCTAAGGGCAATAAAGTCACCAATTAACGTACCGCGTATGTCTTTGGACTGTGGGAAGACGCTTATGGGAAGGGAGAACATTCAAACTCCATCCAGAAAGGTCCCTGTTTGACATTAGATACAAACCAGGAACCTTCCTTCTTGCTGTGAGGCGACAGGAATAACCACTGCTCCCCCTTGCAGCTCCAACATCACAACAATGAATGTTAATAAGTTGCTCAATATTTTAAAACTAAAGAAGTCACTAATTACTGTTCCATACTGAGTTCTATTATTCAGACATCTCGGTTACTCAAACATTTCTATGCACGATAAAAGATGATAAGATGATCATTAATGATCCGCGTGAAAAAATATGAGCATATTCCAGAGCAGACGAGGCCACAAAGGTCTTCTGACTCCCCACCTTGTCGTCTCTAAAGAGCATTAAGCTATAAAAGTCTTGTTAAATATTCTCCTTCAATCAAAAGCGATATCTGGATTTCTGTAAGCCTCTATACACATGTTAAAGTTTAGTCCACGTGATCATTTTAAGTGGAATCCATCATGAACATAAAGCTGGCTTCATACCAGTGTTCACCACTCTCAGCTCTCCTTGTTGTGCTCAGGATGTGTATTAATGTATAGGTACATGTAGAATAATAATCGCCAATTTGACAATGAATCACAAAAATGTTGAGTTAATTACATGAATATTATGACAGGACGATTCAGACAAAACTTGAGCAAATGTTTGACCTCGTTTGCGTTAATGCATGTTAAAGCTCCTGTGAGGACTGTTTGGTTTGTGCTGATTTTGGCGCCCCTGTGGACAATGTGGTTTCTCACCCTGCTTTCTTTAAACAGTCAAAAATATCACTCTTTGAGAATCTTTGCTGTGGAAAATATGAAGAGAATAGGCTCTTTCTGCAGAATGCTGTAAATCTCCTAGTTTCTCACATTTACCACGCCACCACAGTCCTAGGCATTAAAATTAACGATATGGAAATAATCTTTTTGCTTATGGTCTTGTTTGCTTATGTTGGTCATAAAGAGGCATCCGTATGAATTTCAGTATGTTATTAACCAGCTAAACACTCCTCGCAGGGCCTTCAAATCGGCTAACACTGCCACAAGCTTAAAGAACTTGAAACATCAACTTTTCAATAACTTAAATCTCCATAAGTAGTTGCATTTGGTGCCAAATAAGCCTGAAGTTTTGCATTTAAAAAAGATTAGAAATAATCAGGTATAAACCAATGATCCTGATTAATTTTCAAATTAATGTACCTCTTTTAACTGTATAATAAGCCAGAATGTAATCCATGAGAAAAATACAGTAATACGTTTATACTCTTTTGAAAAATTCCTGTTGTTCTTAGGTTGTTGAGTCTATTTTGGTATTCCTCAGTGAAAAACTTGTATCTATCACTGAATTCTTCAGATGAAAGGGATTTAAAATGATGTAACCCAATGCAATCTGAAAGGTCCCGTTTGTTCCTGCTGTGTGGGGGTGAGGAAGATTCCCTGATGTTTATGATGATGATAACGATGGTGGCTATAGAGGCCGATGTTGCAGATAAACTGGCAGGTGAAGTAATGTTACCACCTCTCAGTTTCTCTCAATCTTCCTCCTTCAGCACCATGTCTGTCCACTAAAGACACTGTCCCATCCATCACCAGCCCTCTCCACCGCTTCTTATGGACATCCAGGCTGGACACAATGGCAGTAGGAAATCACATGTCAGACGGCTTTATGGTAGATGACTTTAATATCCGCCACTGTAGCCAGAGAGGCTACACGCTAGAATCATTCAATGGCCAATGAAGCCGCGGGCCACTAAACCAATATGGCGTGCTACGGCAGAATGGATGTGTTCCATGGAAGCCCTGTCGGTCGCAGTGTAATTTAATCCAGCCCCTAGGACAAGCATCTCTCAACAGAAATGGCTGAAAAAATGTTAGAAATACAGACTTGGGGGAGTGGATGAATTGTATAACCCTTCGCTAACCCCCATCTACGCTCCCAAGATTTCTCCCTCATCTCATTTAGTATGACTGTCCATGCAAATTGGCAATAAAAGCAGAGGAAAATCTGGTTATTTTTTAACCAGACAAATGTCCTAACACCTGGTTGTTGAAAGGCTGTTGGGAAGGGTTTCAGGCCATTTGTTTTAGGGAGAAGTTTGAGAAAGAAAACATAATTTCACTGTGGTAACAACTGCGAACATTAGGGAGGGAACTTTTAAAAAATATTTTACACCCCAGTCCATAACTCTGAAGCGTTAGGGAGCAAGGAGAGGGAGGGAAACATGTGAAATGAATAAAGGACAGGGAGGGAAGTCTTGGCTGGCTGTCAGGTTAACTGCTTCATAAAAAGGTGCCAATTTAGAAAACAGATCCCAGCATGTGGGGCTCGGCTCGGTTACACTCCTGACTCTTTCAACGCTCGTCTCTGAGAAAACACAAGGACTCAGGGGTTTGACAGCCACCTCGAGCCGCATTAACACCACAGGCCCCGTTTTACAGATAAACAGATACAAGTACAGCGTTTAGCATGAGTGTGTTAACTGTCAGAACTGGAAGCCCCCTCGCTGAGAAGGAATTTACACACTTTTCCTCGTACATTAGCCCCGAAAAGTGCACAAACTTCTCCTGGAATAGCTGAAGCCATACCGCATTACGCTGCATGACATTGCATTAATGCCACCCATATGAGAACATAACTGTGCTTCCTACTCGGTTAAATCAGCGTATCCCTGTGACAAATGTGTAAAGAGTGAGTGGCGGTGACAGTGACTCCTCAGTCTCCTCCGTGTGGGAGTATTCTGCGATGGAAGGACAAACTCGACTCACTTCCACTCTATCACATCGCTTTGATAAGACCTAATTTCCCAGGGGCTTCAACTTCACATGAACTCAGTTAGGCTCAGTTCCTTCGCCAAGAGGCAGACGACACAAAATCTAATGCCAGCTGAATGGGAGCGTAGCATAATGTTGGAGGGAGGAGAGCGATTCTCTTTGAAGGAGGCAGCATTGTGCAGCAGGGCTTGTGAGCTATATACTTTCAAACTGTCTCAATTTAACTCCCCCGTGAATTCCATTGCCATTTTAGGGAAGAGTTTTCCTCGAGTGTTGAGAGCGGTGTGAAAAAAGCCTGAAAGCGTCTACTCGGATCACTGTAATGCCACCTCTCAGAGCTCTGTGCTGGGGTTGTGAAAACATGGCTAAGGGATGGTCGGAGTGTGTGTGAAGAAAAAAAAAACGTTAGGGCTGGCTGGATTTGTAATTCATGCAGTGTTACATAGTTTGGTTTTACATCTTTCTGTGAATGAAGGGGAGTTTCTGTGCAGCTTTGGAAACAAAACAAAATACTTGACTTCCAATATTGGTATGAAAATAGTTTGTAAAAGCACCCCACGTACTGAGTCCTTGTTGTTGCACCCTTTGGGTCTAATTGAAAATTTATCTCCTGTCTCTCACCCACATTTCCTGACATTATTTGTTGTCACTAAGAGTAAAAACAAGAACAAAAAGTAACCTTTCAAAATAAAAGATTTGTTGCATTTGGCTGATTAGTTTGATTGCAGCTCCTTGAAATGTAACCATGCCATTAAAACAGATGAATTAATTTTAAAAGGCCTCATAACTAAGAGGTGAAACGTGCTTAAAGCAGATGCTCAGGTGTCTGTTCTTACATTTTCTTTTTTTTCTCCCTAAGCCCCTGAAATGGAAGGTCTACTGCCAATCAGTGCAACAACAGCCTCTGAATATTTGTTGAGACTGAACGCTGAAAGTGATGGGACAAAGATCTGAGCTATTAAACAAATGTAACCAATGGTGAAGCACCTTAAACTGCATTATTTTCCTCAATGGCCAGCATGTGGCCACTCTGCTGGTCTCTCTGAGAAAAAGTCCCTACTTCTTACTTGTTACATAACTTTTTTAAACAACTTCCAAATGAATGATCGGCCTCAATCATTACTTCTCATTCTTCTTGATTACACCCTGGTGCTCTAGAGAAATGTCTCTTGTTTAGCATTCAACACACAGTATGAAAAATTGATCAAAACAATAACAAAAGATGACGTCGAGGCTAGCGTGGAATCACTGGAGATCTCTTTTTCACTCCCCCCCTGAATATGGGTTCATTTTTGAAAACCAAATAAGCACTAGGGTTTGATGGAACCTTTTTTTGAAGCTAACCATGTCATTTGCTAACCCAAAATGCCAAACATTGCTAAAACTATGGCTGTAACTTTTTCAACCACAGCCCATCAGGGATAGTATGGCATAGTTTGATGGATAAACCTCCCAAACACAACCAAGAGAAAAAAGGCCCTTTTTATTTTGAGAGAATGGCGTTCTGTAGAGCTCAGAGTGGCCCAACATCTAAACTGAAACCCTTGATTTTCCTTGTATTTGTCACCTCTCTGTATGTGGGTATAAAAAGCTATAACACTCACAGATGTAGTAGTATTCTCTGCCCGGTCTGAACTCAAAGCCCAGGGAGAAGGGAGTGAAGAGCTGGAACTTCTCTGAGAACTTGAGCGGTCCGTTCGGAGAGTGTGGCCTGTTGCACTCCCAGCGTTTGAAGCCCTTCGAGGTGTGGTCGCATGAGCTGTAGCCATCGTAGTTGACCATGTAGAGGACGTAGCGCTCCGTCCGCTCCTCAGGCACTGTGTCTTCATAGTGAGGACAGTAGACATCCAGGTAGTCGTTTATGCACACGTCGATGTGGTAGTCCCCACGATGGAACCTGGTAGGGAAAAAACAAGAAGAGAAAGAGTTAACGCCTTGATGTTTTTTTATAGAAAGGATAAGTATGAGAACTTGATTTTGAATGATGTGCACGCACTTCACAAGTCCCATTAGTAAACTCTTATTACATCTGTGTGTTGATGCATCAATATTTCTTCAATCATGACGCATAAAGCATTGTTTGAACTCGGCACGTACATATGTAGACAATGTGGGTTTGATCTGTCAACACTCTCTCTGTGTTGTCTGGAAATTTACAAGCACCAGCGCTCTCCTCTTCTGGCTTCAATAAATTTGGGTGGGTCGGTTTATCTATAAATCTATCATTGCAGCAGATATTTACTCACACGTGTACACATCTGCCTTCCGAACGATAGCAGACTGAAGTATCTAAGCTTGAGAAAAGACGCTCACAGAGAACAGCTTTTGCTCTTTTATGGAAGAAAAAAACTAAATCTTGGGCATTTTTTTTCTTCCAGGGAAGAATACAGACAAGACGATTCTCAGGCAGCATAAGTATAAATGATCACAAGGAAAGAGGATGGTCCGGACAGTAAATGTCATGTTAGGAAATATACAGAGCCTTGGCTGTCTCTGAGGACTGTGCGGTGAGGCATTTTTACTGCTGCAATGATCTAGAACTGGCCACACAGGGTCAGAGGGTTTCAATACATACAGGCAAATTCATCTAAAGGCCACACACTGTCACAAGCATCCACACACAAACACTATTTCCTCTCTGCTAGCCACACAATAGGTCTCTCAGCTGTGGATTTTTTTTTTTTTACACCTGCCAGAATTAGAGAAATTCTTGTGTCCATTTTTTTTTCTATTTGGGTCTGAGATGGTGCGACTCTCACCTTTGAGGCCACAGGGGACATCACAGAGAAAACACTGAACACCTGTAAGCTCGTAAGTGATGCCCTCAATTTAGCACACACACACACACACACACACACACTTGAAGCAATATGAGGGCGACAATGAACCACAAAATTGCTCAAGTACCAACACAGCTGGTGCCACTGACTCATTCCACCCAGAAGCCAGGTGGTGTGAGTTTGTAATTGAGACCCAGTTGTTAAATGTTGCAGGAGCACAACCTGACAAGAGTTTTGACAAAACTTTTAATTGAAAACCGCCACTGCTGTCTCTAACACCAGCTCCTTGAGCCCCAGGACCCACGAGAGGGCAAAGCGTGTAACAGGCTACAAATAATTTCATCCCGAGGACTCTGGAGTCTGAGGATTAACATACTGAAGCTGTGCACACACACACACAGCACGTTTTTTAATTTCTATACCGACTTGTAGGGGTCGGACAAAATATGGATACAGCAATATATCGTTGTCCTTACATGTGTGATACTATAATCAAATCACTGGTGCCAAATGGGCGGATGTGGCTCAGAGGTAGAGTCTCTCAACCGGAAGGACGGGGGTGTGATCCCAAGCTTCTGCAGCAACTTGGCCTATATGTCCTTGGGCAAGACGCTTAACCCCAAGTTACTCAAAAGCACTCAACACAGATTTCATTGCCAGTTCGAAGCATGATAAGAGGTGAAACTGACACTGAATTGCACTTTTTCCTTTTGAGGCACATTTTGTATTCTCGTGTGAATCAGATGTTTTGATGTTTTATGACATAATTGTCATGTGACTTATGAATGATCACAGAAGCCCTGGTGTCCTGAGATGATCCTAAGATAAGTCTTGTGTATCGTATTGTGAGTTACCCTGATCGCCTCCTCTACGGTCTTGTGTGTTTGTTTAATTTGTCCACTGCATCTCAACGACATGAGAGGATATCAGATGGCTCCAATCTGATTACCAATGTCTGATCCATGATGTTATTTCACCCTGATTTTCCCTAATGTAGTTTTACTATGTTGGCATATTCTGTCCAATGAAAAGCGATTGCATGCCTGGTATCTTTGCTCATACAGCAATTCCTCTTATGTTGCTGCAACAAGCAGAACGATGATCAACTGACTTTTTTCCTGTTGCCCTCATGTTGTTAGTATCACTAAAATAATGTTTTCAAAGTTTGTTAAAGAAAGCAACAAATAAGCCAGAAGGACTATTTTCTATAAACAACTCCTGCAGCGAGTCTCAATTATCAACGGGAACACAGTTTTCTTTGACTGGCACTGAACGTCTAAAAAAAAAAAGATATATGCTAAACAATGGTATAACAATGTCAGTACTTTTCTTTATCGCTTCCCTGTTGCTTCTTTTCCACCCACTTATTTGATCTCTCTTTTCAATGCAGTGTTGCTAGTTAGTCAAAAGTAATATGTGAGTTCTGACTGTAAAGAAAGGATTTTTTTTTTTCTCAGATCCATTTTCTGTGCATGCATTGACAACGCTCGTCCTGCTGAGCTGTGTTTACTCCAGTCTGTGTTATGTTCACATCAGATACACAGGATTATAATCACAGTGCACATAACAATTTGAGCAAAAAAACCTGGGTATGGGCGCTTTAAATTCATGTTTGCACAGTCGAATGGTTAATGTCAAATGTAATGGACGAATCAAACCTTAGCTTTTTCACTTTACATGCAGGATTCTGCTCAGTGTATTTATTTATGTGCGTGTGTGTGTGTGTGTGTGTGTGTGTGTGTGTGTGTGTGTGTGTGTGTTTTGTGAGAGCTTGAGCTAGCATAGAACGTGGCCTTTCTGTGTTTACCAGTATAAGTGAGAGTGTTTGCAAGCCAGGCGTGGAGTAGCTCATCTGTAACATCTCATTTAAAACATGTCTGTGGAGGTCCAGGAAGAGCCATGCATCTCTCTCACTGCTTTAAAATGTCACCGACTTAATGGTCTCCCCCCCCCCACCCCCCCACCGTTGCCTCAGCTCATGTGTGTGTGTCTACTGTATGTGTGTGAGAGAAAGAGAATGACTGCGTGTGTGTGTGTGTGTTTGTGTTTGTGTGATGTTTCAGCTGCCCTTCTCTCCCTGCCTCAGCAGTCAGAATAGTGGCTCGTGGCCCTGACTGCAAATGAAGCAGAGGATGTTTGGGTGAGTGAGCACATAAAAAGGGACAGGACGGGCATTTGTAACACATAACACTCTCTCCCTCGCGCACACACACACACACACACACACACACACACACACACACATATGCAACAAACCTACGCCCAGCTCGAGCACACCCGCACATACATTAGGACGGTGTTATCAGCTCAGTGAGCTCTCTGGCACATTGGCAAAGGAGCAGCAGTGAGAGCCAGAAGCTGCTAATGGCAGCGAGTGAGAACAGAGTGAGGGTGAGAAGTAGGCACTATAGGGGGAGAGAAAGGACCTGCTTCCAAAATAAGGTGAGGTAATAGTGAGAAGAGAAAAAAAACAGACCGAGAGGCTGAATAATGGAGATAGTATTGACAGGCTCCCCCAAGTCTTTGCAGTAGTTATTCAACCATGCTTTTATCATTAAAGCAGATTCTTTCCATATGTGGATGATGATTGTGTGTGAGGAAAGTATTTTCATAGCTGGATTTTCATCCCCTGGAAAGTTGTTGTATGTTGTAGAAATCTGTGTTTATTGTCCTTATATAAAAAAAAAAAAAACTTGCCATCAGGGGACTAATGTGGGAGTTTTAGATGCAGCCAGTGTCTTGTTTACAGCGATGGCAGCTTTAATCTGCTTGCTGCTATTCTATAAACCCCCCTACCCCCCATCACCACTACCACCACCCCCACCACCACCACTGAACCTCTTTTCAGCAGAAACTGTGTGTACAAACATTCTCCAGCCACTGAACAGGACATCCAAGCACAAAGAGGTTGCACACATGGAATATAAATCAATTGATTGCCCTGCCAGCCCTGAAGAGTGAAGCATGCAGGAGAGACGATACAGTAACACTGAAGGAAGACAGGAATCACAAAGATGGTGCAGAATTGAAGTGGACAAAAAATCATGTGTCATGGTGAGTTGGGTCAAAGTGCAGCAGAATGATCGTGCTGAAGGTTTTATTTTACTCATTTAATGAATGTTAAAAACATAAAAGTCTGTTCTATGTTGATGATTAATTAAATTGACCTTTAACTAATGCATTAAAAATACCTTTAAATTGGCCAACCTAATAAATGTATTTATTTATTCTGTCTTTATATGTCAAATAAATGTGAAACTTATTAATACATAAAGATGAAATGAATGAATTCATGATAATAAAATGACCAGCTGTTGAGCTCTGACACTATGACACCCCCCACACACACACACACACACACACACACACACCTATTGCTTAAAGAAGGCGGCGCCATTGTGCATTATGGATCAATTAGCCAATCAGATGTGACGCCACTATGCATTTGCTATAACTTTATTAATTTAAAGGGCGTGTGGAGGTGCGTTGCAGGAGGAGCGCGGCGCCGTTTAGTATGGAGGTTCCAGCCAAGCAGCAGTTTGTTTTGGTTTTAATGCTCAATGGAAATATCTATGGATCAAGAAGTCGCACATTCTTCCTTAAAATTTAACACAAAATATAAAAACTCTTGTTGGCTCTCTCCATTATCCTTACAGTGATAGCTTACATATATTTCTCTATTCAAGGTCCCAAGATAAGAACTTAAAGGTTATAAAATCACATAAGCTGTTGTCCCTCTAGAGTTGGTGCTGAGTTTCCTCCAGTGCCACACACACATTCACTCGATCCTCCCGACTAGCAGCACTCTATTTTAGGACATCCTAATGGAAACATCATGAGAAACAATCGTTTCCATTCTTGTGAGAAAAGAGCAGAGGCAGAAAGTGGCAGCGGAGGCCTTTTAGCAGTAAAATAGGTAATTAAGGAGCGAAGTTGGATGTTAAGCTAATAGTAAAATGGAGATAATTGCACGTCTTTGTTATGCCACAGCTGGCCCACTGAGTGCTGGGTCACAATTCAGAGCCAGGGCGATTAGCTGGACACTAAGCAGGGGTGCATATGTGTGCAAACATGTGTGTGTGTGTGTGTGTGTGTGTGTGTGTGTGTGTGTGTGTGT